TCGGCCTCACCCGCTTCACAGACGTGTTCGGTTGGGGACGCAGGAGAGGGCCTTCTCGGTGGCTACTTCCAGACTCTGGAAGTTGTGTGTGGTGTTGGCTTGATTCTTTTAAAACCTTTGTATACTTACAGTTTTTAGCTTTTAAATATTGCCTTTTGATTATATAAGCTACCTTGAGTCATTTTTATGGAGAAAGGCTGGGTGAAAATTTTTTAAATAACTAAAATAAATAAAGTCAAAGTACAGAGCCTCGTAGAGGAGAAAAGCTATATGTTCCCCGAACTGTCCACCCCTTTTTCATAAACTGGCACATAAGGTATCAATAATGCACTCTGAGAGTTTTATAGGAGAATGAATAAAAATGTTTATTTGAGCAGTGAACAGCTCAACAGCAAACTAACAACTGCCTTCAACAGACAAAAGAGAGGGGGAAAGAGCCCTCAGCAGAGAGGCGGGCCTCTCTTTGAATCCAGAGGCTGGAATGAATGATTGGTTAGTGCTGGACAGTCAACAGACAGAGGGGGAAAGAGCCCTCAGCAGAGAGGCGGGCCTCTCTTTGAATCCAGAGGCTGGAATGAATGATTGGTTAGTGCTGGACAGACAATCATATCAGCCCAGAAAGTCCCTCCCAGTCAAGCAGCATGTGAGGTTGTTACAGTATATCTGTTGTTATCTAAACCATTGTGGATATTTTAATAAGATGGCCTCATCAGTTCTTATAACCAACAACAGCCTTACCAGACCAGTCAGTGTTACTGTTTACCAGAGGCTGGAATGAATGATTGGTTAGTGCTGGACAGACAATCATATCAGCCCAGAAAGTCCCTCCCAGTCAAGCAGCATGTGAGGTTGTTACAGTATATCTGTTGTTATCTAAACCATTGTGGATATTTTAATAAGATGGCCTCATCAGTTCTTATAACCAACAACAGCCTTACCAGACCAGTCAGTGTTACTGTTTAAAGTGAGGGAGGGGGAGCTTCCTGGTTCTTGGCTTGCTGTCCCAACAGTCTTGAGACCGAGGGGAGGGGGCAGCCCCTTTGGACCAGCTCTGCCTCCCTCCTAGTAAGGCTGCGGGAAAGCTGGACCGTCCTGCTCTGCCATGTTGGTCAGAACTGCAGAGCTGGAAGGGACCTGGTGAATCCATGGGATCCAGCCCTTGGGATCAGGCTTCCAACTTCTGGCTCCACGACCAGATGCCTAAACTACTGAGCTATCTGGCAACCTTCCATAGTTTTAATTTATGTAGAGAGGCTTTGCCTCAAGTATTAGTGGCAGCTACACTTCAACAAAGCTTTATTTCTCAGTGACACTACCGGTCCTGTCTGTGCCTCTCAGGAAATCAGGTTAGAGGGTGAGGAGAGCGCCGGCCTGTGCCTGCCCGAGGGTGGCTGGGGAGGCTGGAAGCCTTGCAGGTGGGCAGGCGGGCACAGAAAGGCCTAATGGGTAATAAAGGAGCCACACAGGGAGCCTCGGGGGATGCGGGGAGAAGATTTCTCCGTGAGCTGTCCCGCTTCATCTTCATTGCCTGTCCTTCTGGGCTGGGGAAGTGCTCCGTGTTCTCAGCAGCTGACCTGCCTTTGACTGTCCCCAAAGAGGAAGGAAGGGCTTGGAGGCAAGGGGAGGGGGGGCTTACTGGGCAGTGTACCAAGGCAGCATGCGAGTGCACATGTGTGTGTGTGTGTGTGTGTGTGCGTGCACACACAGGCTGTCACTCTCTGGGAACCCTGGATCCCACCTTGCTTGGGCTCCGCTGTTCTCTGTTCCTCCACCTCTTTTCCCCACTGGGGCAGAGGTGGACATGGCTGGTGGTGGGGAGCGGGTGGGGGGAGAGAGAGAGAGAGGGGGGGGCACCTCCTGGCCACTCTGCACAGGCGGCCCTGGCCGGGCACCCAGGGGCAGGCCACTTTGGTGGGTCATTAGCCTTCAGCCTGCTTGGCCTGCCCCAGGACCGTCCAGGCACCAGCAGGCTTCTTCAGACACGCCATTCTGTGGGCACCCAAACCCTGACAACGTTGTCTTCTAGCACTCCCTCCTTCCCTGGCCCCCCACAGTGGCAGTGGGCTGGCTCTCTCTCTCTCTCTCTCTCTCTCCCCCGGCACATATTAAAAGGTGTGAAGCAGGGAAAACAGGAGCAGCAGCAGAGGACCTTTGGGGGGGAGGGGGCACCTCCTGGAAGCACCCCACCGTACCCAGGTTAGTTGGGGGGTAAGATAAGACACCCCCCCTCTCTCCCACCCCGTGTCCAGCAGGGATAAACATGTGCAAGGAGCGCATGGGCTGAAGGAGGGGGCTGTGGGGCTGGCGTGGGGCTGCCGGTGCCTCCTTGCTCCCGCCGGCCACGCTGCGCTCCCCTGGGACTCCCCTCCTTCTGCTGGGCAAGCCCTGCAAGAGGTCTCCCTGCCCAAGGAGTGCTCTCAGCAGCCCCATCCCAGGAGGCGGAGCTGTCCGGGGTTGAGGTGGCTTCGAATATCTTCCCAAGCCTCTTGGTCTGAGGTCACAGCAAGCCAGAAGAAAGGGGCAGGCAGGAAAGGGGTATTGAGGCTTGGCCTTCAGAACAGAAGCGAAACACACTGGCTTCTGATCTGTTGCAGTACCAGAAACTTCTCCTCCTCCTCCTCCTCCTCCTGACCAGAAACTTCTCCTCCTCCTCCTCACTTTACGGACCCTCCACCCTTTCCCTGCCTGGCCAAGCGACGGTTTATGGCGGGGCCTGAAAGCAAAGGGCCTTAAAGCAACCTGGCTTCCTTCCGCTCCGTCTCCCAGATTGTACACAAGGCTGAAGGGAGAGACCCAGTAAAGCACTTTGGCAGGGCTTTGTGTTTGGACATAAAGCGCAGGGATTCCTGCCTGGAGGGAGGTTTGCCCACACGCTCCTGTTATCTCTTCAGATAGTGAGCTCAGACAGCCTCAGCCCAGCCGCTCTGCCATCTACCCTTTCCCAGATGTGTCCCTGGGGCTCCGCTGCTCCCTGGCCAGGCCGAGCTGCTGTCTGGTGCCAGGAAAGAGGCAGTAGCTTGGTTTGGCAGCCCCGAGGCCTCCCCCCTCCCGAGACACGCCCACCCCCAGCAAGACCTGCTGGTGGCAGTGGGAGAAGCTGGGAGGGAGTGGGAAAAGCAAGACCCTCCCTTCCCAGGTGGCATGGGTCCGGGACCTAGCAACCTGGAAAGGAGCTGGCTAGCCTTTTCTCCCCGTCCTTGCCTGGGCAGGCAGCGGAGCGGAGTGGAGCTAGGGCCGACTGAGGCTGCCTGGGCAGGCAGAAGAGGGCTGGGGGCATAGAAGAGTGCCGAGGCTGCCGAACCTCCCCAGATGCTGCAGGCCCCCAGGGCCCCCCAGCCCTGTGGGGAGCTGGCCAGCTCCAGGGAGTTGCCACTCAGCTCAGCTCTCAGGCCAGGACCCCCCACCCCCCGCCAGGGCCAGCTGCCCCTGTGGCCAAAAGCCCTTCTGCAGGAAAGGCGCCTCTTCTCCGAGGAGGCCTGGCATTGGCTCTTTTGGGGTTGGCCACGGGTTTTCCTGAGGCAGGCACACTACTCCGTTGGGAAGTCCCGCTTCCATGGGACTTGTGCGGGAGAACATCGAGGTGGATCAGGGAAGCCGTCGTTGTCTCTCCTCACTCAGAAGTCTTGCAGCTCCCCTGTGGCTAACGTGTCTTTGTGGCTATTTTGTGCCTCCAAGCACCTGTCTTTGGAACAACGGGTTAGTGGCTGTCTCTCTGGGGGACACCTTTAAACCAGAGGCAAGATGGGGGGGGTATTGTGGAGCACTCAAGAGGGTGTGGCGGTCCTAGGCGAGGGAGACCTTTAACAGACAGTGGAGGGGGGGGAATCAATGGGTTGTGTCCCCACCTTCCGCCAGCAGCCATCCCAGGGCCCTGCGTCTGGCAAGGGTGGGCCAGTGGGGACCCTGTGACCCGGACCCGGCCGCCCTCCTCTCGACCAGGAGGTCCCTCTGCGAGAACAGCGGCCATCCAGGCTGCCAGGCAAGGAGGAAGCTCTTTCGGCCCTCCTGATGCCGCCCCTCCTCTGAGAGGCTCAAGACCCTCAGGCACGAAGCGATCCCCTTGCGGGGGCTGAGCGTAGAAGCACCCCCACCCTGAGCCTCTTTGGTTCCTGCACCAAGGAGACCTCTGGGATATGTGGACAGCATTCCTTGTTCTCTCTGTGGGGCACCCAGAAAACCAGGATTCCTCCAAAGAGCCACTTGGGTGGCTTGTTAAGGAGAGCCGGGAGCCAGACTGGCGGTCGGGGTGGCCCAACTGAGAGGGGAGGGCCGCCTCTGCCCTCTCGGGGACACGGCGCTTCCATAGCAGGGTCTGGCCTTTTAGACTTTCTCTTCTGAAGCTCTACAGCCAAAAGGCATCTTGGTCATTCTCCTTCGTTGCAGGGATCTGCTTTTTATCTCCTTAATTTCTGAGATATGAGACCAGCCAGAGAGAGATTCGGATGTCTTGCGAGGCCTTGTTATTTTGAACCTTACTTTCCAGAGGCAGGCTGCAGTCGTTGTAGCCTTCGTTTCTGTCATCATTGTTTTTTCCTTCCATTTTGTTTGCTTGTTTCTTATCTGCTGTCTCTAAACTGCCTAAATACTGGCGGATGAGAATGGCACACACAACCTCTGTGGGTCCTTTTCTCCAAACTCTGACATATAGGGAACAGCATCCCAGATTCTGGTGATGGTTCCTCCCAGGGAAGCCAAGTTGCCCGTCTGCCGGAGCGTCTGGTGAACACCCGCCTCCCCAAAGAGGCCCTGGCTCCCCTCCCCTCCCCTCCCCCAGTCGCCATTTTCCACAGCCATTGGCTTATTCCCACCACAAGGCTTCATTCTCAGGGCAGAGGAGTCCACCAGTAACGATCATTTGTAAAATGTCCATTTATCACAAGCGTTTCACAGACATTGAAGCTGAACTAGAATGGAAAAGAGAACATTTATTGGCCTCATAACAAGAAGCATTAAAGGGAAGGACCTTACCCTGACCTGTCATTATCCCCATTGGGGTGCAGAGCCCAAGGAGAGCCAGTAAGGGGCCAGGCTGCACGTGTGTGTGTGTGTGTGTGTGTGTGTGTGTGTCTAGGAGAGAGAGAAAAGGCATGTGCACTTGGGAGCCTTTGGGCACACGCATGTGCGCAGCCGCCTTTCTGGCACGTCCCGCTCCTGGGCCAGCTCTTGGTGTGTCACTGTTAATGGTTAATGTTGCCATAAACCTGCCGAGGTTTGTAATCTCTGGGAAAGGAAGCTATCAGCCAGGCCATCAGAAGTGAAAAGAACAGCCTGTACCCTGGGCGGTGGGGGTGGGGGTGTTTGTTTTCTTTCCTTCTTCCTTTCTCTCTCTCTCTCTCTCTCTCTCTCTGTCTCTCTGGTAGCTTGAGAGAGATGGGCAAGTCACCCTACCCCCCCTCCACCCCTCCACACATGCGGGCGGCTGGGTGGCTGCGCACACACTCTCATACACACACACACACATGCACACATGCGACACACAGAGAGAGAGAGAGAGAGAGAGAGAGAGAGAGAGAGAGCGCTCCTATTCTGTTCTCAATTGTCATCAAACTGCAGAACCCGAAAGGACTCTGTGGGTCATCCAGCCCCTGTTAATTGGGCGTATTGAACTCCCAACCAGAGACCTCCACTGTTGTGCGATCCAGCAGGTCGGAGGCCCTCTCCTCTGGGGCCTCTCCCACGATGGATTGTTTCTGGGTCCCTCTAGGGGTCTTTTGCTTCTCTCCCCCCTCCCCAATGTTTTAGATGTTTCTTGTGCTCAGAGAACTGGCTGTTGCAAAACTCTTCAGTGTCTCAGTCCTATAAGTCATCGCACTGAAGATCTTACTTACGAACTTCCTGGTGGAGAGAGGTGAGTCTGTGCAGCCGCCCCTTGGCTTTTGGCAGACCAAATTTCCTGTCTTTATGAACGCCATGGCACCCATGGGCAGCCGGGTCCAAGAAGCGGGCTGGTGACCAAGGAGCGACTTTCAGCTCAGGTTGGTGGTGGCAGGTGGCTGTTCCTGACGTCTTGGTGGAACTTCTCATGCAACTCCTGTGCACGAGCACAGATGATAAAGACACTGTCCACCTGCCTCAGGGCAGAGGCTGTGGGACATTGGCGTTGATAAGGCCTCGTTCTAGCTGAGCCGTGAAGAAGGTGGCACATCGAGGGGCCACGTGAGCCCCCAGGGCAGCGCCTCTGATCTCGTTACTGATCTGTTCCCTGCTCTGGGAACCTTCTAGCTGAGGATCAAGACATAAATGCTTTAAAAGATAAAGTACGGACATTGAGAATGCAAGAAGGGGAATGCAATGTGTAAAGCCTCAATCGAATGATCCCAGCTGTGCTGCCTTGCCTTGCCTTGCCTTGCCTTGCCTTGCCTTGGCCGAGGAGGACATGTTCCTTTCCTGCTGCAGGTTTGGAGTTCCTTGCAGTGGAAAGACCTTCCTAGGAACCACCTTCTGAGAGCACCCAGAGGCTCCTGGGATTTGTTCTGGACACCTTCGTCCAACGGGGGGGGCACTCTCTGCGTTCTGCTGGAAGGGCTCGCAGAACCCTCTGCCTTGGCTTAGGAACGGCAAGGTCAAAAGGCACACCTGCTGGATCACCTGCGGCATCTCTCTTTCCAAAAGGATTGTGGGAGAAGACAGCCTGGACCCATTTCCTGAAGAAGAGGGACACCCACACCCACACCCACATAAAACATCCCATTGTTCTGCTAGCTGGACAGTCTCAGGTCAAGGTCCACTTTTGACTGGGCTACAGAGAGAGAGAGAGAGAGAGAAGCAGGATCACAAGAGGTGGGGAAGGCGGCTTCTGGCCTGGCAGCCAACGGCAGCTGCCTCAAACTGGCAAAGTTAATGGAGTGGAGCGCCAACCTGGGGCAGGTGAGCTGAGGCTATTTTTAGAGCAGCCTTTTGTGTGATGGCCCACAAGATAAGCTGGCTGTTCCTTGCTATTTTGCAAGCACATAAACCGCAGCAGTTCCGTGACTCAGTGAGCAGCCAAGCCACCTGGGTCCCATCCGAGGCAAGGCTGCTTGTGCCTGCAGGTGGGGCAAGGGTTAGGGTTAGGGAGCCTTTGTGGGGACCATGGCCTGACGTTGCTCTCCTCCTCCTCTTCCACCACCACCACCACCACCCTCATTGCAGAGCACTGAGCCATGTCTTATAGCTTCCACCCTTTGGAAACCCTTGATGGCGCCAAGTCAGCTTGCCCACCCAGAGAGGTTGGTGGCTGCATTGGAGGCTGCCTGGCTTTGCAGTTTCTCTCCCCACCCCACAACTCATCATCTACCCATTAGTCACACTGCCCTTTTTGTTCCTGTATGGAAGCGGTGCATAACAGAGCCAAAGTTTCAGGCATTGCCCACATGCCCCCCCCTTGCAGGCTCCCCAGGAGAAGTATTCAGCAGGACTGAGATGGAGGGAGGAAGGATCCAGGAAATACAGGGTGGGATTAAAAATGGATGTTTGCCTCGGAGGTTGCTCAGTGCCGCTGGAGACCTGGCGTTCTCCCAGGGGGACACAGATGCAAGTGGACGGCTCTCTCCCAGGAGGCTGGGAGAGCCCCCCCCCCATGAGAAGGCCAGAAAGAGGCTCCTGACATGCGGGGCGTGGGCAGGACAGCACAGAGGCGCAGAGGTGGAAGATGAAACGTTTGCCACTCCTGGAGCTGTTTTGTGCCGTTCCACAAGGGCACCGCTTAGAACCTTCTCCAGACCCCTTCCACCAGGAACCATCCAAACCGGAGATGGCCACAGGTGGTAAATCAGGCCTCGAACCCCAAGGAGCAACACACATGCACATCCGCGCACACCCAGGGGAGCTGTGTTGGGAAGGGAAAGGCAGAGGACTGAAGCCCAGCCTCCTCGTTAAGAAGGGTAAACCCAAGCAAAGTGTTGGTGGAGTGAGACGGGTGGGAAATAACGTGGATGTGTGTGCCCGTTGAGGAGAAATGAATATGGGTGGTTTTAATTCAAGCATTCTGCACTTAAATGAAAACAAGGTCTTAATCTAGCCCGAGGCAGGCAGAAATCAGCCCCAAAGCGCCTTGAAGAAGATGGGGGTGAGGGTGGGGTTGCCTCTGGGTTTGCACGTCTGTCTGTCGCAGCCTGAGCCGGCCCTCTCGGGTGGCGGAGAGTCTGCGGGCCTCAGGCGGCACCTGGGAGAGGGAGGCAACAGCCGCCGCCCAGCTGTCCTGCACTAGCGGAAAGCCAGGCTCTGGCCTCAGGCGGCACCTGAGAGAGGGCAGGCAACAAACACCGCCCAGCTGTCCTGCACTGGCGGAAAGCCAGGCTCTGGGTCCCTGG